TCCATGAGAAGCCTCAGTTCATAGTTTGGATCTGGCTGTGGAGTGTAGCATGGCTCTGCAGAATGGCCCGTGAAGGCCGCCATGGGTAACTCCAGCTCCAATGGCCCCTCTGGTTGTGGGTGAAATTCTTCTCGATAAGCAGGTTGTTCTTGATATGCCCAGGGGTCTGATTGTTCTCCATAGAAACGGGGTTGGTACTGGAACCCGACTCCATAGTCTTCTCCTCCTTGGTTACTCCAGGGAGTCTCGGGGTAATACCACTCGGATGGTGGTGGATACCCCCAATGATTGGAGAAGCCATGAGGGTCCATGATTCAGATCTGCACCAACAAAAACAAAAAACACCCAAGTGAAAAGCAAGGGCGGAAAACAAAAGAAAAACGCTAAAGTAACAAACTTCTGCCTTTCCTAATAATCTAGAAAGTCCCCGGCAACGGTGCCAAAAACTTGACTCTTTAAAACACAACTCCTAACAATGGCCAAGTGTAACCAATGAAAGGGCTGCAGTATAGTGGCTCAAGTAATAAATATCGAATCCACGGGTCTCTAGAGTTACTATTACTCAGCTTCAGTTCATTATCTAGCAAAACAGATTAAGATGAAAGAACTAAAACTACTCTAGCAAATTACAGTTAAAGTTAATCTAATTACAGGTTGGGAACTCACTTAGGTATGATTCCCCCTAGCCACTAGCCAGATTAACGATTGATGATCTCTAACTTGTTTCACTTTCATTCACAATGCGGAGAATCCTTGACTAGACTTTGAGTCTCGACTAAAGGAACAAGGCCCTCTTGAGTCAATTGCCTAGAGGGACGTATCCTTCTCTAGAACAATCAATCAAGGCGTTCTGAACTAGACTCCCTCTATCGAATGAGGTTCTCAATCGATACAAATCAGTGAATCAACCCTCGACTAAAGCAATCGATCCACTACTATCAATCTATGGTGCTCTATTGACCTAATCAGGTATTCGCTCTCATAGGATCAAAGCATAATCAATAATCTCGACTAAAGCAGAATTGAATCGTGAAAACATGCATAGATTGAATATGAACTCAAGATTATCAAGTCAGAGTACTCATACAATCATCCAATCAAACAAACATAGCTAGGGTTCCTCAAAACCTAAGTGAAGGGAAGTTACTCCATAGAGAAGAGAGAGACTGCAGAAATCTGATCTAGATCTTCAATCTCCATCTCCAAGCTTGATTCCCGAGCTCCAATGGCGAAGAAATCCTCCAAAATAGCTCCAAGAATGTTCCCAAGTCGCTCTCTCTCTCTAGGGTTCGTCCCTTGGGTGTTTGGGATCCAAAACCCAGCTCTCCCCCTTTCCTTTCGCTGAAAATCGGGTTTTAAACAGCAATTCCCGACTCACACGGCCAGGCCACACGGCCGTGTGGCTTTCCCAGCTGCTCGTGTGAAGGCTCGGTGATTTCCACACGGCCACGACTCGCACGGCCGTGTGGGGTTCCAGGATGCCCGTGTGGCTTACCCAGCCTTTGTTTAACGCTTCATTTCTCCCTCGTCCGGACTTCGAATCAGTCGCCGTTTGATCCCAGAAGCTCTTAGTCTCGTCCTCTTTCTTTTCATGACAAGCTTGCATGATTCTTTGTCCATTAAGTGAGGTAGAAATCCATTCTTCTTCAGGTCATGCCCGAGTTTCTTCTCCCAAATCGTCAATTGATCTCTGATTGTGACAAAGGAACACAACCTAGCGTAAAATAGGCCAAAGACGCGATAATTCAAGCTCAAACAATCAAGAAACAAAGGGGAAAACATGTGCAAATACCGAGTCATCATGTACCTACACTTTTTCAAAATCCTTCTATGGTACAACCCAAACTTGTACCTATACCATGGTACAACTTTATGTTGTACCTACATTTTTAAAAAATCCTTCTATGGTACAACCCAAAATTGTACCTATACTAATGGTACAACTTTAAGTTGTACCTACACTTTCTAACAAATCCCTTATGGTACAACTAAAAATTGTACCTATACTAATGGTACAACCTTAAGTTGTACCTACACTTTCTCAAAATTCTTTTATGGTACAACCCAAACTTGTACCTATAACATGGTACAATTTTAAGTTGTACCTACACTTTCTAATAAATCCCTTCATGGTACAACTCAAAATTGTACCTATACTAATGGTACAACTTTAAGTTGTACCTACACTTTGTGAAACAAATTCTTCAATGGTACAGCTGAAACTTGTACCTATACGATATGGTACAACTCTAATTTGTACCTACACTTGTATACATTGATTCATTATTTACAAGATTGCCATTAATGATGTGGGACCAGTCGTTTAGTAGGTTTACCTCCTCAACAGGTCACCTTTTTTATAGCATGGGTGCTATAGAGCACACTAGAAGGGCTCTTTACTAGCCACTGAAAGTTACAAAAATTCCATCCAAGCCATATGTCTATGCCAATATAATTAACATAAAGTCATTCCAAGAGGGTTCCATCCATGAATTTGTCTACTATTAGTCTGTAGCTTCATATGAATTATTGCAAAAGGCTCCCTTTCCTCCATGAACTTCCAGCAACATGTTCCTCGAGTAAACTGCATAATTTTAGCTATGCTCTTACACCAGTATTCTAAAGCAAAGTTGTGGTTGATGATGACTGGGACACTCTTTCCATTGAATCTCCTTGCCTCGAACCTTGCCTCTTTGTCTAAATATATAATAACATGATTATGTCAACACAGTAGCACAAACTCACTTTGACAAAGAAAAAACTAATACTGATCCAAATTACTTTGTTGGAAAATACATTATCTGAAAAGAGAATGATATTGAACTAACCTTAAGCTTTGGTAATATACTCTGGGAGAGAATTATACTTGGTTGAGGAGCTGTATCATTTGTTCCACCAGCAACATTTTGAATTGTAGAATTCCTTTTGGCATTATCAGAAGCATGGAAATTCTTTCTGTGCGTTGGATCTCTACGAACAGAGCAATGCTTCAAAACACACATACATCCTTGCAAAAATGCCACCCGATTGCTCTATTATGACTGTAGATCCAGGGTTAGTTCTTAAAATCTCAGCTTGATACTTGTACAAGTTCTGAAATTGTTCCTCTTCTTCTCCACCAAGAAGTAACCAAGTTGTACGCCTACATCTTTGTGCTTTAAATTGACTTATGTTGACACCAAGATCTTCTCGGACCGTTTGAATCAACAAAGGGACAAACCAAGTTGGATAAACTCTAAAACGAGTTAGATATTTCTTTGCTATCCATAAAGCCGTGCAAAATCGATTTTTAAAGACCCTTGGACAATGATCAGCGTGATCCATGCGACAAGTTTTTATTTGAGGAGTCTTTTGATCAGACATATATGAGACCCATATCTTCCAAGGACATCCCTTATGGCAAACAGCTTCAACCCTCGTTTTGTCACTCCTTGAAAATCTTATGTCCCTTTTATTCTTGATAGCATAATGTCGAACAACCTCCTTAAACTCCAAAAATGACTCGAATCACTGTGATATGAAGAATATAGGGTCTTTCATATGCTTCTGCATTGAACTGAGGGTATTGAACTTCATCTTCTTCCCCCTCTTCTACCAAATGATGTAAATTATCTGGATCCATATACTCGCTGTCCGAATCCTCATCATTGGTTTCTGAATGTCCCCCTAGACGACCTACCCTAAATTCATCCTCTATGTATTGATCAAAGACCAAGTCATCTTCCTTATCATCTAAATCATTCTCACTGTCTATAAATGATGCATCATTAGAACCTGTATCTTCTAAGGAGTCACCACCTTCTTCCTCAAAATCTTTAACTCTTTCTCTTCTAACTCGGTTTCTTTGACCTTCACTTTGTACACTTTTAGCCATTTGACTTTTTTCATGTTCTGGTTGTCCTCCTCCAACTCTTTCACTTAACTGCTCCATATAACTGTGGTCTAACAAGTAAGCATCCACCACCCTACTCTTCTTGTTGATTAGCTGTCCCATCTCCAATAAATGATTGTCATGTTTTAAAACCTTCAAGCTGGGTAACCGTAAGGTATCCCCTGTAACCCTCCGATACCAACCCAAACCATGAAGAGGGAGCCCCATCTCAGCCAACATATCATCCAAATCAAGCATCGACATCTTATCTGTATCTACCCAATCCCAATACTTTGTCCCTCCAGCGCTATACAAGAGATTTTCTCCATCATAATGCATTTCACCACCATGATGTACCGCAAGAGTAAAATATCCTTCATTGGAAACTAAATAAACAACCGAGACAGAAGAAACTTATAAGATACAGATCCCAAATTCAAGGATGTCATATTAAACTCATGAGAACTACAAAATGGTTTCAAACCCATGCGCCTAACCTGATCATGAGAACTACAAAATTCAAGGATTAATTAAAGTAATACAAATTCCCATAAAAAACAACTCATCGTTAAATGCTTCCTCGTTCTGCTCTGGAAAAAAAAACTTTCCCGTTCAAACATAAGCCAGCGACACCATTATAAAAAAAAAAACATAAGCCAGCGACCCAAGAACGCACAACAAAGTAGACATGGAAAATTACAATCCAACTTGTTGACCCAATTTGAACCCAACAAAAAAGTAGAAGTTTTTACAACCCAAAGTTGATTAACCTGTGCTTTTTTTTTTAAGGTCGGCTGGGTTAGCGGGTCGACTCATTAAATCTGTTTCAATTTATATGTTATTCTCAAATTAATAAAATCAATTATAAATTGGTGATATGGTTAAAAAAAATTCACTATGATTTGAAAGACATGTTTGGAGTTTAAGGATAATCAAATATCATATGTGTTTCTTGTAGTAGTATTACTTTAGTGATTTTTTTTCTTACGATTTGTGCAGTTTAGTATGCTATATAGCATGTATACTTTACTATGTTTATAGCCATTGGATATTGTTAAATATTATGAGCCACAGGATCTTGTTAAATTAATTAGTTTTATTTATTTATTTGGTATTGGTTACCTGTGGTACCGGTTCACAAGTTTGATAGTAATAAAAAAATCAATTCGAAATTAGGGAAAGCTTCAGTTCAGTCGACTTCTCCGATTGAGCAGTTTCAGTCGACATCTTCGATTTTCCATTCTCTTCGATGACAGTGAAGGCAGTGAGCAGGGGGTGACGGCAAGCCGGATTCTGAAAGAGTTCGACGGCGAGTGCGACGCTGGGTAAAGGAAGAAGTAGGGTGTTGCATCTCTTCGTCGATTTTGATTCGCGGAAAAGGGGATTGAGCTCGTCGATTGCATAGACTGGGATTTTTTCGACGGCAACGGAGGAAATAGCCCCATTTCCACCTTCGAATTGTTTCTCCCTAGAAAGGTGGCTCTTATTCTTCAAAGCTCTTATTCTCCAGTCCATCCAACCTTAGCCCAGTGCCCGCCATCATTAGCTTCAAGCTCACCCGCCTTGGCTTTACTGTGCTTGAAGGTTTTCACCGACGGCAACGGAGGCAATAGGCCCATTGCCAGTTTTACTGTCGGAGGAGCTCGATCGTTTGAGCCCCATTGTCAGTTACCGCAGCCCCCTTGCATCTCCGCCATTGGTTGCTGTCGTCGTTACAGGTCGACCTAGGGTTTGTATTCTGTTTTATTTGCTTTCCTACTTATTTGTTAGTCTCTGCGAAGTTTCTTCAGTTCGTCTGAGACCTTTTAACCTGCCCTGAATCTGCCGGCTTTTGATTGTAGTTCGCGAAATAAGCAGAGGGGGAAAAATCAAAGTAGAAAGAGATGTTCTTTCTGAGTCTGATAGAGCACAAACTACGTTTGCCACCTGCTGATCTATCGCTTCCTCTCCATGAAGGCATCAAGAAATTTCTTGATGGTATCTTCTTGGATAGGGTATGCTTGTACCCTCATTTGTCTCTCTATGTCCATTTGCAAAGCAGCTCTTAGAATTCTGAACAAACCAATAATGGTTTTCTTCCTTCGTGATATGGCTTCTAAGGTTATCTTGAACTTGGGACGCTGTGTGTCCATCTATGACATTAGAAATATATATGGCGGCTTCATTCATGCCGGAGAAGGTGCTCCAACCTACACTGTGAGTTACATCGTACATCTTTTGTCAGTTTGGTTGCTTTTGTTGAAGTGAATCAATGAAGCTTGATTAGTGAATTGGTGTGATTTTCTTTATTTCTGTTAACGCTGGTGGAAACGAACCAATGCATTTGGAGATAATGCTTCGCTATGATTCTTGCAGTTAGAATTTAGAATGGTGGTATTCCGGCCTTTTACATGAGAGATTATTGTTACCAAAATTATAGAATCTGATAAGGATGGTCTTCGATGTAAGTTCTGATTGTTGTCTGCTTTGACGACTCCTACACTAGTGTTAATCTGGCTTTGCTGCGATTCGTGTGATACGCCTAACCCATATTTATCAAGAAAATTTGTCTGAAGAAAAGAACATGATTTAATGAATTTGATGTGAGATCTGCCAGTTCCTTTGGCATTTCACTAGGTTAATAGCAGTTTAGGTGCAAAGCCAATGGATAAATAAGGATTTCTTCTTAGAGAAGAACAAAGGAAGACTAATCTTAGAACAATTTTCCTCATATGCAAAGCGATTTGGGTAGTGAAATTGGGTGATCTCACAGTCATTATATAAAGAATAAGCTAGGATAGATTGCTGATTTATTTCATTCTCTAGCTGAGTATTGCAACCTTCATCTCTTCTCTTTTTGGCCCTTTCTTGTGTGTTTATGTTTACTTCCTATTACATTATAATAAAAACCATTCTCTTCCTAATTAATTGACATAGAAAGCATGATTTACAGTATCGCGTGGATTCCTTGATGATATCTATGTGCCAGCTCATCAGCTTCCCCAACCATGCCATCAAATTCCGGATCCTGATCGCAGGTAAGATCACTCTTACTTGCTACCTGAGAGTACCCAAGGAATACACCCTTTGTTAATCATCGCAGATGAGATGAAACATGATTAGGAATGTTAAGTGGTCATTCCTTAATGAGTTGATTATTCATGTAATGCAATATGTATATAGTGATGCAATCCTTGTTTCTTCTCACTGTCCCTTTTACTCCACACCTCAATTTAGTCATGAAAATTTACTAAATTCTCTGTGTGGACTGCAGATTTAAAGTCAGATGGATATGGGAATACGACATCGAAGATACATGAAACCCAGAACAGTATAACATCGAGGGCTTGGATTGCATTATTAGCACCACAAACTTACTAGGAAATCTATATGCAAGTTTACATTGTCTTTACCATGCTGCTCCCCTCACTGTCCTGTTAGGTGGTTCCGAGTTCTGAATGTGAGCTTCCCACCACTTTCAATTGAGCATCGAGAGAAGCCTTTTGCTATGATGCTTGTTACTGTAAGCCAGCCTTCAAACTCATGCTAACCAGATCTTGCTATATTTGATGTTCTTTATGGTGTTCTTCTTACAAGGCATGTCTTGATGTGGGTGACTTGTGTCTTGATGCCAGGGATCCATATCTGAATGTGGTTTGGGGCCGGTTTCATGGTGGTGATAGAAAAGGGTTCAGAACTTGAAGAAACTAAGGATTTTTTGCAATGACATTATCATAAAAGCACTGGGGAAGATTGGATGGCCTAGCCTAGAGTATGGTCCAGAGTCGTTTGTATCTAGGTTGCCTTTGCAGGAAGATTGGATGGCCTAGCCTAATGTCATCGGAATGTTCCAAGTAGAAACTGCATAAAAAACTTAGAGAATGCTAGCTCTATTCCTACTTAAGTCATGACATGTTGTTACAATTTGTAAGCAATCTATGCTATGAAACAGCCACATTTTACGGGTATGAGATTTTCAACTCCAAGCCCGTGATAATGACTAGGATTTAGCGAGTAACATGTACAAAAAATTTACTTCAAGTTAATTTTAATATTTACGAATTTTATGTGATGGTCAATCTTTGTTTTCAATTTTTTTTTTTGGATTACTACTAATCTAATACTATACAACTAGTTTAAGTTCATGGAGGCAAAATCTCATATTCTATATATTAAAGTGGCTTATTATGTGCCATATTCCTATGATTTTTGACATGTCATTGTCCAAAATACGATGTATCATCCATAAACACAAACATTAACCATGTTTCTTCGACTTGTACCATTATTACTCCATGTTGTACCACAAGTCCGAATGTACAACCAGAACTTGTACCTATTAGGGGTGTGCATGAGTTGGGTTGTCCGGGTTTAGCCCTTTTAATCACCCGACCCATGCACTACGGTTTGGAAAATATTAAACCCATACCCAACCAAAAAATTAAAACCCTACGATTAGTTTTTAAATGGGTTGGGTCGGGTTGGCGATATTGTTAAGTTAAAACCCAACCCAACGCAAAATATGTAATTATAGTACACATAAAATATTTTATAACTTGTACCTATACAATGGTACAACTTTAAGTTGTACGTACACTTTCTAACAAATCCCTCTTTGGTACAACTCAAAATTGTACATATACTAATGGTATAACTTTCAGTTGCACCTACACTTTCTAACGAATCCTTCTATGGTACAACTCAAAATTGTACCTATACTAATGGTACAACGTTAAGTTGTACCTACACTTTCTCAAAATTCTTCTATGGTACAACCTAAACTTGTACCTATACTATGGTACAATTTTAAGTTGTACCTACACTTTCTAACAAATCCCTTTATGGTACAACTGAAAATTGTACCTATACTAATGGTACAACCTTAAGTTGTACCTACACTTTCTCAAAATCCTTCTGCGGTACAACCCAAACTTGTACCTATACTATGGTACAACTTTAAGTTGTACCTACACTTTCTAACAAATCCCTCTATGGTACAACTCAAAATTGTACCTATTCTTGTGGTACAACCTTATGTTGTAACTACAGTATCTAAAAATCCTGTTATGGTACAACCCAAACTTGTACCTATACGATAGTACAAATTTAAGTTGTACCTACACTTTCTAACAAATCCCTCTATGGTACAACTCAAAATTGTACCTATACTAGTGGTACAACCTTAAGTTGTACCTACACTTTCTCAAAATTCTTCTATGGTACAACCCAAACTTGTACCTATACTATGATACAACTTTAAGTTGTACCTACACTTTCTAAAAATCCTTCTATGGTACAACCCAAACTTGTACCTATACCATTGTACAACTTTAAGTTGTACCTACACTTTCTAACAAATCCCTCTATGGTACAACGCAAAATTGTACCTATACTAATGTTACAACTTTAAGTTGTACCTACACTTTCTCAAAATCCTTCTATGGTACAACCCAAACTTGTACCTATACCATGGTACAACTTTATGTTGTACCTACACTTTCTAACAAATCCCTTTATGGTACAACTAAAAATTGTACCTATACTAATGGTACAACCTTAAGTTGTACCTACACTTTCTAACAAATCCCTTTATGGTTCAACTAAAAATTGTACCTATACTAATGGTACAACCTTAAGTTGTACCTACACTTTTTCAAAATCCTTCTATGGTACAACCCAAACTTGTACCTATAACATGGTACAATTTTAAGTTGTACCTACACTTTCTAATAAATCCCTTATTGGTACAACTCAAAATTGTACCTATACTAATGGTATAACTTTAAGTTGTACCTACACTTTCTAATAAATCTCTTTATGGTACAACTAAAAATTGTACCTATACTAATGGTACAACCTTTAGTTGTACCTACACTTTTTCAAAATCCTTCTATGGTACAACCCAAACTTGTACCTATACCATGGTACAACTTTATGTTGTACCTACATTTTCTAAAAATCCTTCTATGGTACAACCCAAAATTGTACATATACTAATGGTACAACTTTAAGTTGTACCTACACTTTCTAACAAATCCCTTATGGTACAACTAAAAATTGTACCTATACTAATGGTACAACCTTAAGTTGTACCTACACTTTCTCAAAATTCTTTTATGGTACAACCCAAACTTGTACCTATAACGTGGTACAATTTTAAGTTGTACCTACACTTTCTAATAAATCCCTTCATGGTACAACTCAAAATTGTACCTATACTAATGGTACAACTTTAAGTTGTACCTACACTTTGTGAAACAAATTCTTCAATGGTACAGCTGAAACTTGTACCTACACGATATGGTACAACTCTAATTTGTACCTACACTTGTATACATTGATTCATTATTTACAAGATTGCCATTAATGATGTGGGACCAGTCGTTTAGTAGGTTTACCTCCTCAACAGGTCACCTTTTTTATAGCATGGGTGCTATAGAGCACACTAGAAGGGCTCTTTACTAGCCACTGAAAGTTACAAAAATTCCATCCAAGCCATATGTCTATGCCAATATAATTAACATAAAGTCATTCCAAAAGGGTTCCATCCATGAATTTGTCTACTATTAGTCTGTAGCTTCATATGAATTATTGCAAAAGGCTCCCTTTCCTCCATGAACTTCCAGCAACATGTTCCTCGAGTATACTGCATAATTTTAGCTATGCTCTTACACCAGTAGCACAAACTCACTTTAACAAAGAAAAAACTAATACTGATCCAAATTACTTTGTTGGAAAATACATTATCTAAAAAGAGAATGATATTGCACTAACCTTAAGCTTTGGTAATATACTCTGGGAGAGAATTATACTTGGTTGAGGAGCTGTATCATTTGTTCCACCAGCAACATTTTGAATTGTAGAATTCCTTTTGGCATTATCAGAAGCATGGAAATTCTTTCTGTGCGTTGGATCTCTACAAACAGAGCAATGCATTTTCACACCCTTCTTACTTACCCTGTCATATCCTTGTTTTCCTCTATTTTCAATTTCTTCGGGCTCTTTCGTTATTAGTTTTGCTCTTCTTCCTGGTTTCATCTTCATTGCAGCTGAAATTGGAGGGGCTTCAAGTGGATGTCTTCGAGTTGCAGGCCACAATTATTCTCCATTAATTGGCTCAAACAACTTCCCATATATTTTTTTATATGTTTCCACTGTATAGCAATCATCAACATAATCTGCATGATTCTTGTTGAGGAGCCAAATAGCACTTATGGCATGCATACATGGTACACCACAAAGATCCCATTTTCTACATGCACAGGTTCTATCCTTCAAGTTCACAACAAACTGACCAGTAGGACATTTCACTTCAAATTTATCCTCGGCAACATTCTGAGCTATGCAATGTACAGCTGCATCCTTTACCTTATCTAGTTTTATTGAGATCTTAGGGCATAATCTACCAAACCATTTTTGGCAGCAAGTTGTTTTGACAACATTCTCCTTACCAAGTTACATCTAATTGTCTCCCACATTGAGATGATAGGTTGATCCCTAGCAGGAAGGATAGAATGGTTGAAAGACTCACAAATATTATTTAGTAGCAAGTCTGTCTTGCAATGCACGTTGAAGTAACTCCTTGACCACTGATAGAATGGCCTCTTCAACAACCAAGCATATGCTTTCTCACTTTGCTCCGAGAGGGAAGCCATCCATCTACCAAACTCTTGCTCATATGTTGACTTTGCTGCCTTCCACAACATCGACTTCATGATTAAGTCCTTTCCAATGTCCTTTCTAAAGTTTGTGTACATATGACGTACACAAAATCTATGCTCCACTTGAGGCAATTCTGAATCTAATGCCTGGATTAAACCCTACAAATCAACATACATCAATAAACTATAATATAAAATTGACATTCATTAATGTTATATCTTTGACCTGTTTTAACTACATAAACTTAGCATTAATTAAATACAAAGTTTTACCTTTTGTCGGTCGGACATGAAACACCAAGTTGGATTATCATCGATATCTAAATCATCAATCAATAAACGAATGAACCATTTCTAGTTGAATGAGTTTTCCTTTTCCACCATTGCGAAAGCAATCGGAAACATGCAATCGTTTGCATCAATGCCCACGGCTGCTAGAAGTTGCCATTTCAAACTAGTTTTCAAAAAACACCCATCAATGCCTATAAATCTCCTACAACCAGCCTTGAAACCCACTTTGCATGCTTCAAAACACACATACATCCTTGCAAAAATGCCACCCGATTGCTCTATTATGACTGTAGATCCAGGGTTAGTTCTTAAAATCTCAGCTTGATACCTGTGCAAGTTCTGAAATTGTTCCTCTTCTTCTCCACCAAGAAGTAACCAAGTTGTACGCCTACATCTTTGTGCTTTAAATTGACTTATGTTGACACCAAGATCTTCTCGGACCGTTTGAATCAACAAAGGGACAAACCAAGTTGGATCAACTCTAAAACGAGTTAGATATTTCTTTGCTATCCATAAAGCCGTGCGAAATTGATTTTTAAAGACCCTTGGACAATGATCAGCGTGATCCATACGACAAGTTTTTATTTGAGGAGTCTTTTGATCAGACATATATGAGACCCATATCTTCCAAGGACATCCCTTATGGCAAACAGCTTCAACCCTTGTTTTGTCACTCCTTGAAAATCTTATGTCCCTTTTATTCTTGATAGCATAATGTCGAACAACCTCCTTAAACTCCAAAAATGACTCGAATGACTGTGATATGAAGAATATAGGGTCTTTCATATGCTTCTGCATTGAACTGAGGGTATTGAACTTCATCTTCTTCCCCCTCTTCTACCAAATGATGTAAATTATCTGGATCCATATACTCACTGTCCGAATCCTCATCATTGATTTCTGAATGTCCCCCTAGACGACCTACCCTAAATTCATCCTCTATGTATTGATCAAAGACCAAGTCATCTTCCTTATCATCTAAATCATTCTCACTGTCTATAAATAATGCATCATCAGAATCTGTATCTTCTAAGGAGTCACCACCTTCTTCCTCAAAATCTTTAACTCTTTCTCTTCTAACTCGGTTTCTTTGACCTTCACTTTGTACACTTTTAGCCATTTGACTTGTTTCATGTTCTGGTTGTCCTCCTCCAACTCTTTCACTTAACTGCTCCATATAACTGTGGTCTAACAAGTAAGCATCCACCACCCTACTCTTCTTGTTGATTAGCTGTCCCATCTCCAATAAATGATTGTCATGTTTTAAAACCTTCAAGCTGGGTAACCGTAAGGGATCCCCTGTAACCCTCCGATACCAACCCAAACCATGAAGAGGGAGCCCCATCTCAGCCAACATATCATCCAAATCAAGCATCGACATCTTATCTGTATCTACCCAATCCCAATACTTTGTCCCTCCAGCGCTATACAAGAGATTTTCTCCATCATAATGCATTTCACCACCATGATGTACCGCAAGAGTAAAATATCCTTCATTGGAACCTAAATAAACAACCGAGACAGAAGAAACTTATAAGATACAGATCCCAAATTCAAGGATGTCATATTAAACTCATGAGAACTACAAAATGGTTTCAAACCCATGCGACTAACCTGATCATGAGAACTACAAAATTCAAGGATTAATTAAAGTAATACAAATTCCCATAAAAAACAACTCATCGTGAAATGCTTCCCCGTTCTGTTCTGGAAAAAAAAACTTTCCCGTTCAAACATAAGCCAGCGACACCATTATAAAAAAAAACATAAGCCAGCGACCCAAGAACGCACAACAAAGTAGACATGGAAAATTACAATCCAACTTGTTGACCCAATTTGAACCCGACAAAAAAGTAGAAGTTTTTACAACCCAAAGTTGATTAACATGTGCTTTTTTTTAAGGTCGGCTGGGTTAGCGGGTCGACTCATTAAATCTGTTTCAATTTATATGTTATTCTTAAATTAATAAAATCAATTATAAATTGGTGATATGTTTAAAAAAAATTCACTATGATTTGAAAGACATGTTTGGAGTTTAAGGATAATCAAATATCATATGTGTTTCTTGTATTAGTATTACTTTAGTGATTTTTTTTCTTACGATATGTGCAGTTTGTATTTCATTTCATTAGTATGGGAGGATTTGAGAATATGTTAATTGTCATATGTTAGATAAACTATTACCATTCATATGTGAAGATTTGTATTCTTTAAGAAAATATGAAGCATGTTTAATATTGTTTCTGAGAGCGCTCATGACCCTAAACGACCTGTAACCCAACCATAAACCCAATGGATTGGGTGAATATTTGACCCGAAATCTTGTTGCCGACCATGCCAGCGACGCTGATATATGGTCGCTCCAATCTTGTTGCGACCATTTTTTAACTTTGGGCAACCATTTTTTATGGTTGCAAATAGTGTTTTTTCTTGTAGTGTCAGCTAACCCAACATTACCCGACGCGTAACCCGATGCCTCAACTCGAAATTACCCAACCTGACCCGATTGTTAGGTGTACATTCTACAACAAAGCAAATGGCGAGTGCAACACATTGACTTGTAGTAAGGGATGAGTAGATCAGACGGACAAATTAAAATAAAATAGTTTGACGTGATAAGTTGTGTCACTTGGTTGGACAACTGGTTTTTAAAAAAAAGAAATCGATGGATATTGTACCTTCTAATTTAAACTCTAATGTCATTACAACTATGATAATGATACATTATTATGACTTATAATTAGAAAACAATGGTTGTTGTGTATTTGTGTCAATCTTGATTACACCCATTTGATGTCAAATTCTGACCATCAGATCAAACCGGGAGGATTCTAATGCTTCTATATATGATGAACATATAAACCTCATCATCTCTCTCGTCACATATATATATATATGTTTTTATTGAAACGTAGAATCAATAAAGAAGTCACAATTCACAGCCGATAGACAAAATCCAAATTAACAATTGTTACCCGCAAAACGAAATAAAGAAGCGAAAACAAATTGGAAACGATCCAGCCCGCCGTTACTACTCGCGGTAGATGAAAGCAAGCTTGTATTCGCCGCTCACCATAGCCAGGGTGCAAGCTGTATCTCCCCAAAATGGACTATTGTCCCATGAATAGGGGAGCCGGATAGAGCAGGACATCCCGGGAAGATTAGAAATATGGAAACCGCCGTCGTAATAAGCCATCATCGTCAAGCCGCCATCCGGGTGGGTTGTCTTTACAAACCACCAGTTGTCTTTGTCGAATGCGGCTCTGCCATTGTACACCCGAATCTTGGGGGGAGGCAACCAATCTCTGGGATCTTCATCCACCAAAGACAGCCCATTTGCTGACGAGAATGGCCAGTAGAAATTGTTCACAAGTGAGTTGTACTGGAAACTACCCGATATGATTTCGCGGGACAAACTCCAAGTATCCTGTGGCACCGCCCTTCTTGTGCTTATTATTTGGTCATTGTGCGTAGTAAGGGGCACCAACTTAGTTGCGGCAGTCTGTAACCACGATTGCTTCCGAGGGAGTCGTAACAGTTGGTTTCTTAGCTTCTCTGTTTCCGCTGCACTCGCTTTCATCATTTCTTCCTTCTCGATCCTAAGCCGTTGGGATTCCGCATCCTTCTCGTTCATAACCTTTCGCAACGCTTCATCCTTGTTCGCTACCTCTTCCCTCATCTCCGCCTCGTCGTTCTTCAACTTGTGCCATTCATCGCTGTCCACCATTATCTTCCCTTCTGATGTTGCTGCTGCTGCACCACCACCTTCGTCGTTCTGGGCTCTTTTCAGATTCCTCACTTCCTCCCTCAATTTTTTCAGCTCCTCGTTCTTCCCTTTGCTCGACTTTGCTTCGTCGTCCTTTTCTTTCCTCAACGTCTCTAACTCCTCGGTTTTATCCTCCAGCTCCTCGTCCTTCTCCCTCTTGAGTGTTTCTAGCTCGCCTTCTTTTTTCTTCGACAACTTCAACAGCTCCTTGCCGTTTTTCTTTTCCAGGTCTCGTAGCTCTTGCTCGTGTTTCTCCCTCTCTTCTTTTAGCTTTTCCAACTCCCAATCTTGTTCTTCCATCTCCTCCCTCAGCTTCAACATCTTTTCATCCCTTTCTTCAATCATTTTTTTCAACTCCTCGTACTTCTTCTTGCTCACCGCTCCTCCAGCCTTCGGCCGCTTCTCCCCTTTCGGCACGGAGTACTCCAACACCAGGCGCCGCCACGTGGCGATTCCTGGCATTCTGATACCGTGATACGGCCAGTTGAAAAGATCATTCAGTCGGAGGTAGTGAAACCCAAACTCTTTATGCTCGCCTAATCGGGTGACATCCTGGAAACAAAACCCTTGAGGGTTGATCCTCAATTGCAGCCGGGTGAGGTGTTGAGCTAGCTTGGTCAACGCCTCCTGTCCCTCGATCCTCCCGTGACCATTGAAGAACATCAGCCCGTCGTAAGATTCCTCCTCCTCCTCCTCTGCTGATGGATCGTCGCCATCGTCTTGTTCCTCATCATTGCTTTGATCTTGATCACGGGCTGTGATGGTGGCGACTTCCTTCCAGTGATTCTTTCCGATGGAGGAAGGATTAACAGCAGTAGGGTTGGTCAACTGGTAGACTTTGAGGGTCGCCTTGTCCGAGGAAGCAACGAAGTGCTTGTCGGATTTGAAATCAAAGAGAACCATGGTATCCTAATTGTTTTTTTTTTTGGTCGAGATGATGAGTATCAGAGGGATTGGGATGTAATGCTAATTTGCTAACTAGGAAGGGGAGTTGGGATGGAATTGCAGAATTTGAATGGTGGCGATCATGTTATATGTAATAATAATGTCTTGAATCTTGATGTGTGGGTGGATACCGCTAACTAATTGCCTTAATTAAAATTTAAATTATTAGTATAATTAATAGGCAAGTTTCTTTAAGGGGTTTACTACCCTATTTGCGAGCTCACACTAAGATTTATGGACCCCTTTTATTCCCCCATAAACCGTTCCTTCCCCCTATATTCCCCGCGACGATTTTCTGGCGATTGGCCAAGTTGGCGAGTCACTTGCCTAGCCATCCTGCTTCTTCCCTCCGATGATTCATTGGATATTGGCCAAGTTGGATCCTCTTGCCGGATTTTCTACAGCCGCTACTCCTCCCATCTTCTAATTGGAGATTTCACCATAAATCCCCTGCAAATAACTTTGGACTAGCCGCCAATCCTCCCGGATCATTGTCCACTCTGTTTTCCTCCGATAGACTCTTGGCGGCTGAACAAGTTGGGACTCCAATTTGCATGAATATTCTTTTCAAGATCCTTCTGATCCTCGACTCCAATTGTTGACATTGGGGGCATGCAAATCGACCAGTATCAGGCGATCTCCCTGGGGCATTGTTTGATTTTTAGTGACAACCACATATCACCTCTGAAATTACAGGGGATTCTGATTAGGGACTGAAGAATTGTGGAGAGGAAGACGACATGTGCATCTCTCAAGAAAGCTCGCCAGCTCCTCAGTTCTCCAAGCGTGAGATGTGGGAGCTCAATTCCTTTCCACCAATACGCCCTCCACCCCACTCCCAGCAGCTTCTAAATAAGACTGATTTTTTCAAGGGAAAAAACAAGATTGATCTTACTCTTATTTCATCTAAACAAGATTGACTCAATTACTCTCCAATTACACATTTCATGCACATCACTCTTTTGCATGGTTGACACATGGTTACATTTAAAATGAAAACATGCCACCTGTTCATCTTTATTGGCCTCATGATCGATCTCCTTTTATAGGTCCCACTCGTTTCAATTATTTCGTCAAGCTTAATTGGTATGCTTGGGTGTTAGTAAGAAAGCATGTATAACATAAAATTCACATAGTGGAAAAAATGTATGATGTTACTATGTTTGATAAGGAAGAATCATGTAATTACATATTAATTAGATAGTGTGCTTCAAAGAAGATTCTTTGTCAAAATTAATTTTTCAGAATAAGTCATATTTTATCAGGCTACTATAATCCATATAGGAAACTATATGTGAAATTGTGAGTTACTCAATTAGAACATAGTAGTATTTCAAAATACTTTTTGAAATTTCAAGGGTTTGAACCATTATTATGATTCGATAACAATATTTATCGTAGAAGATAATAATATTCATAACACACATTATAAAGTTTCATTTATTCTTCATCATGAAATTATTTTCTTGCCTCTTCATAAGATTAGGAAATATCACGCTCAATTATCATACATTCAGTTACTCCATCCAAACCCATATATAGTATAATTGGAAATCCAACTATCTACTTCGAAATCATATACAAGTGCATGAAGGCTAAAGAAATTAAACAATTGGTTATGGCCCTATTCGCACCCGTTTCAAGTTAATACATGATTTCTTTTCTACCACAAACGACCTTCACCTAGATTTAAAATTATTACTTTTCACTCCTAATTGGTAGATTTATTTTTGAGTACCCGCTGCAGAGCGCGGGCCAATTTTCTAGTAGCATATAATGGTGCATCTATTAATTAATTGGAGAGTGGCATTTCTTAGAAAGGATGAGTTAGGGTTTAAGGATTGACTCTAATATAAAGAAGATATGTCGTCTCAGCTTCTTCATCCATATTTTCTTTTAGAAAATATCCTTTCACCTAATTAAAAGAAGGAAAAAAAAAAAAGAATGACTTTGCCCAATAAATAATAAAATGTAGTCTTTTATTATTATTATTATTATTATTATTTTGGTAGACTTTTATTACAATTGTTTTTCTTTAGTAGACTTGGGATCATGTTGTCTTTTTTTAAGCAATTCATCATCGATTAAAATACTTCTCAATTCTTAAGAAATAAACCGACGACCAAAAACATATTAGAAGTCAGTTTAATTAGATGTGGTGGATAGGAGAGGAACCCATCTATATTATGCTTCAAAATATTGTTGTTTTTCTATATACATTGAATTTTTACGAAAATGAATAGGTACAAACCGAGTTGAATCGAAGACTCCGAAGAGAACCCAAATGGGTATGGAACTCAGCTGGATCGTCCGTCACCGTATACCTGTTCGAAATCCTTAACTTCTGCTGACTGTATTTAGTGAGGAAGATTGAGAATCAAAATTGTACAGAGTACGTGGGGAGGCCAAATTCTCGGCTGGAAAAATGAAACTATCATCTCTTTGGAATATTTTGATTAACCTGAAGCTGGAATCATTGACTTAAAAATGGCTAAATTGCAAGTTTGGTAACTTGAATTACTAGTAAAGTTCACGTTAACTACTAGAATTACTTTATTCCACCCATAGTCACTTAAATTAGGTTAACGATTCAAGTTTGGTCACTGACCGTTAGTCTTCGTTAACTTTTGCTCAAGTGACCAAGGTTCGAACTCCAATGATAACATTTTTAATATATAAACATGGCCTGAGTGCAATGACAAAAATGACATTCCTAGAATCACTCTCAGGCCACGAAATTTGAAATGAGAGAATTCCAACCCATGTTTTGCCTTTATGTATTGTGTAGATGTAGATTCCATTAAAATCTATATTACCTTTTATGTTTTGCCTTTACATATTGCTGCTAATTTTTTTTAACATTCTTTATGGGTTCATAAAATGAAAGATCAGGATTTTATTTTAGGTCACTTTAATATATTTTTTAAAATTCTAAATTGAAATATTTTGAAAGCTATATGAGTGTGTTCTTTGAAAAACCATACCATTAACATAATCAACCAAAACCAATAACGAGCGAAAACCAGTACCAAAATAAATTCAATAAAAAACCAATAGTAATTTGATTTTAATTAAACTTCGTTTTTCCAAAGCAAGTGGTGAGTACAAAATTGACTTCCCGAAGGGATCAGTATATAAAGTACAAAAACAAAATAGTTTGGGACTTTGCTATGGTGACATGCATGTCACAGTGATGAGTAATTTTACAATGCTATATAGCATTGGTGCTATAGGTTTTTACCTTTATGGTACAACTTGAAATTGTACTTTTAATGTTATGGTACAACTTCAGATTGTACCTATACTTTTTGTACAAATTCTTTTATGGTACAACTTAAACTTGTACCTTATGTGATGGTACAACTTCAAGTTGTAAAGTTGTACCATAACATAATTATACAAATTCCTTTATGGTACAACCTAAACTTGTACATTTAATGTTATGGTACAACTTCAAGTTGTACATTAAAGCACCAATACTATATAGCATAGTAAAAGTGCTCCACAGTGATATGTATTTTTCGGTCGATCTTATATAGGATTAGGTCGACTTAATATGTTGTTTCAGTGTAAAAACAATTTCATGGTGTCTACTTTGGAGATTCTATCTTACAATTGGCTAGATGGAAATTGGAGATTAATGGCTTGTTTTTGAAGCTGAAGTGTCCCTCTATACATTAAAGTACTTGGTCATCCTCGACATCGCTTTGATAGTGATCACGGGAGGTGATGGTGGCGACTTCCTTCCAATGATTCTTCCCGATGGAGGAAGGATTAACAGTAGTAGGGTTTGTAAACTCGTAGACTTTGAGGGTCGTCTTGTCCGAGGAAGCAACGAAGTGCTTGTCGGATTTGAAATCAAAGAGAACCATGGTATCCTAATTGTTTTTCTGGTCGAGATGGTGAGTACCAGAGAGATTGGGATGTAATGCTAATTTGCTAATTAACTAGGAGGGGGTATTAGAGATGATCTTGATCGGAGATTGGGATGGAATTGCAGAATTTGAATGGTGGCGATCAATCGATCATGTTATATATAGTAATAATAATGTCTTGATGTGTGGTGGATACCCTAATTGCCTTAATTAAAATTTAAATAGCATATAATATATAGTGCATCTATTGATTAATTGGAAAGTGACATTTCTTAGAAAGGATGAGGTAGGGCTTAAGGTTTGACTCTTATATAATGATATTTCTTAGCTTCTTCATCCATATTTTCTTTTACTTGCCTCATCTCCGCCTCATCCTTCTTCAACTTGTGCCATTCATCACTCTCAACCAGTATCTTTCCTTTCTCGCCTACTGCCGCTGCTTCATCTTCCTTCTTATTAGCTCTTGTCATATTCTTCACTTCTCCCCTCAATTTTTTCAATTCCTCATCCTTCACTTTGCTTAGCTTTGCTGCGTCGTCCTTTTCTTTTCTCAACATCTCTAACTCCTCGTCTTTCTCCTACAACTCCCCGTCCTTCTCCCTCTTCAACGTTTCTAACTCGCTATCTTTTTGTTTTGACAGCTTTCGCAGTTCCTTGCCATTTTTCTTCTACAACTCGTGTAGCTCTACCCCGTGTTTCCCCCTCTCTTCTTTTAGCTTTTCCATCTCCCAATCTTGTTCTTCCATATCCTCCCTCATCTTTCCGATCTTTTAATCCCTTTCTTCAATCATTCTTTTCAACTCCTCGTACTTCTTCTTGCTCACAGCAGCTCCTCCAGCCATCGGCCGCTTCTTCTCCCCTTTTGGTACGGAGTACTGCAACACCAGGCGTCGCCACGTGGTGATGCCCGTTATTTTGATACCGTGATTCAGCCAGTTGAAAAAATCATTCAATCGGAGGTAGTGAAACCTAAAATCTTTGTGCTCGCCTAGCCCGGTAACATCCTGGAAGCAGAACCCTTGAGGGCTCACCCTCAATTGGAGCCGGGTGAGGTGTTGGGCTAGCTTGGTCAACGCCTCCCGTTCCTCGATCTTCCCATGACCATCGAAGAATATCAGCCCGTCGTAAGATTCCTCCTCCTCCTCCTCTACTAATGCATCGTCGCCATCATCTTGTTCCTCATCATTGCTTTGATCTTGATCACGGGCTGTGATGGTGGCGACTTCCTTCCAATGATTCTTTCCAATGGAGGAAGGATTGACAGCAGGGTTGGTCTATCCGAGGAAGCAACGAAGTGCTTGCCGGACTTGAAATCACAGAGAACCATTGTAGGGTAATTGTTTTCTGGTCGAGATGATGAGTATTAGAGAGATTGGGATGTAATTGCAGAATTTGAATGGTGGCGATCATGTTATATATACATATATCCTACCATACATATATGGAGATTCTTGCTCAGCACCTACCCAATTAAAATTTTCCTGGCCTCCCCGCAAAGCAAGGAAGCCCTTATGAGTCTTTTGGCATCTCAATTTTCCGTGCATGCTACTATAGGTAGCTCACACAACTGGACATATCAATTGGGCTTTCCGTTTCCTTTTCCACAGCCCACCAAATTATAACTTATAATTGCAAATCAACATAAATTAATACATCATTAGTTTATTTGGACATAAACTTATGATTTCTTTTACCATTGGTATACGTGTTATACATATAGAATAAATAAACAGAAAAATAAAAACATTTTATCAAGAGTTTCAAATGCATTTAACAGTTATACATGTATTATATGGAGATTAAATATAGTTCACTAAATATTCTTGCATTAACCAATATTCATGTAATTATATCGTATAAAAAATGAAGTTCCATATGGTTTTAGATTTAACAATTCAAGAATATGATCATTTTACATTCGGTGATAAACTTATATGTTTAGCTCGAGTGTACAATAATTTGGTCTAAAATTTAATTTCTAATATCATTGCTTTCTTCTCAAAGAATGATAATTGTTCGACAAAAAAATGATAATTTCCTGCGAATTTCAAAAAAATTTATTAGCAATTTTGAGCCTCTAGGGTTTTCAGATTGTAATAAGTGAATACATATTTTTACACTTAGTTATCAGACAACAAACAATTACCTATTTAAATCACTTGGTTTTAATAAAGTTCTAAGTTTCAATTCAAGTAAAGAGATGGATTGTGAAAATAAATCAATGAAGCAGAATTGTTGCTAATTTCAATAAATTCTTACTAAGCCTATTTTTTTATAGAAGGCTATTAATACTATGCATCTTAAATTATGTAATTTTTATTATAACAAATGAGATCAAGCTCCTATAGTCGATTCGGGAATCATCATCACTAAAGCTTATATTGCTCTTCTAAATAATGAATCTCAATTATTAGCATTTTTCATATTTAAGATCCAACTACCCAATCAACTACTAACATTTTTCACATTTATGATCCAACTCGAGTTGTGAATACTACCAAATATGAGTTTGTTGTCTTGGATCATCAAGAATTCAGGATTCTGAGAATTACTGTTGAAAATCTATAAAAAAAATAGTGGAAGAATGAATCGTCAAGTTGAATCACAAATTAGCAATTCCATAAGCAAATTAACAATTTTGAACATAATTATTGATGGAATAAATGAATTTCAAACAAAAGGTGAAACTATAATGAGACAAATTCTTTTGTTCTGAAGCACCTATCAATGATGAATATAGTGGATTTGATGATGAAGATGGTTGATGGTTAATAGGTGATATCGATTATTTTGAAACACTTACATGCTTAATTTCAACCAGAATTAACATAGATGGCTCTGATTACAATGTTGGTGATTCTTACGATGGATGCACATTTTCTCTTCTTGAAGAATTTAATAATTTGATTTTCTTTAAAAGATAAAACTAAGAAACTAGCTTGCGATTTGATAAAATTGATATCATTATTTGTTAATTCGCATGACATTAATATATAATCCTAGCACGAATATAAGAGAAGTGGAGATTATTAAAATTTAAAACTTTGTTAGTTAATGCTATCATATTTTCACCGGCCAACGGGCCGGGATACAATCTAGTATATATAATAATAATGGCCTTGATGTGTGGGTGGATACCGCTAATTGCCTTAATTAAAATTTAAATAGCATATAATAGTGCATCTATTTCATTAATTGGAAATTGACATTTCTTAGAAAGGATGAGTTAGGGCTTAAGGATTGACTCTTAGAGTCGTATATAAACATATGTCTTAGCTTCTTCATCCATATTTTCTTTTAAATTATAATCTATCGCCTAATTAAAAGAAAAAAGAATGACTTTGTCCAATAAATTATAAAATGTAGTCTTTTATTATTATTATTATTATAAATTATTATTATTATTATTATTATTATTGTAGTAGACTTTTTCATTACAATTTTTTTTATTTGGTAGACTTGGCACCATGTAGTCTTTTTTTAATCAATTCATGATCGATTAAAATACTTCCCCTGTTCTTAAGGAAATTAAATAAGTCGACGACCGAAGAATACACCACACGTTGATTGGGCGTGTCTTCACCACGGCTAGGGTCCTGCCAATTGAGCTGCGGGATTTGGTGAACTCCCCATGGCAATGCAAGGGGAGGATAAAGGTGCTGCAAGCCAAACATGGCCTATTTGAGTTCGTCCTCCCTAATGAAGAATCCAAAATCTGGGTTCTAAAACGAACCCCTTGGGTGGTCAATGACAAAATCATTCACCAACGGCCATGGACACCGTCTGTATCAAGACAGACGTATGAGGAGCTTGCGATTGCTCCCTTTAGGGTGCAACTTTGGGATGTAAAGGAGGAATGTTGCACCGCAAAATTTGGTATGAAGGTGGCAGGTCCCACGATTGGTCAAGTGCTCAAGGCTGGTGTCTATTCCTGCCAGAAATCATGGAAATATTTCATCAAGGTGAAAGCGATGATTGATTTCTCTAGACCATTGCGGTTGCAATTAATGGCCTCCAGTGAGGAGACGGGGGGGGGGGGGGGGGGGCTTTTGGGTACGACTGAAATATGAGCACCTCTCCTCCTTCTGCTTCCACTGTGGACGGGTGGGACGTTATCAGAGAGAATGTACCTTTGATCCCCCAAATCGCAAGGAACGTTTCGGTCCACACATGATCACTAAGAAACTGGGGACAAGAGTTTATGATGCTGATGAAATAAAGATCCCTTTTCAAGGGAGAGCTAAAACAGTTTGGGTCAATAACGACTTGAGAGGCGCTCGAAATAAACCCAAGCCGGGTCGGGGAATTGAGAAAATGCAGCAGGGTAATTTGGGCAAGGAAGGTTCGGTCAGGGATGAGGTGGTCCATGAGCAGGCTCAAAAAATTGAGAAGGAATTCGTCCCCATATTGAGAGAGCAGCAGGGGTGGGGTAGGCGTAGTCCCAAGGGCTTTATCATCCCTCGCTCGCCCAAAACAAAATCGAGTGCTGCCATGCAGCGTCGTGCCAAGGGAAAAGAGACACAAGGCCCTGCCCGATCTGAGTTCGTGGCCAGGGAAACTAGAAAGCCAGTTCGATCAGCGAAGGCGATGAAGAGACATGGTACTGGGAATAAAGAAGCTGCTTGGTCAAGATCCCCTGAAGTGGAGGTCGAGCATCATCCCATTCCAGAGGATAGTATTGTTCACCCACAAGAACAACACGTTTGAAGGAGGAGATTGGTGCTGGAGGAAGAGTCAGAAGATGACACAGGACCTCTATTCGCCTCTCTGAAGGGTATGGGGCAGGCGGAGGATGGAGGCTGTGTTGCCGAAGGGTGCGGGGCGACGGCTCATACTGGGCAGACCGGGAAAATGGAGCCCCCTCGCCAGCAAGCTTCACGGCAGCTTGTCAAAACTGCAGCTGCCCGCGATTCAGTCAAAAATGGGGTTGCTGCCCAAAAACAAAGAGGGAAACGGGTGGAGAAAAAGGATCAAAGGGCACCACGGAAGGCGTATACTAAGGCGACCATTAGTGATGGAACATGGGTGGAGGTTCCTGTGCAGGAAACCTCGACTCTTCCTGCCTCCCCAGCCATTGTCGATCCTCTACAAGAGAAGGCCCTGGGAGATGCTTTGGCTGAGTCCAGCCCGAAGGGAGACGGGAATCGCTTCGAACTTAAAAGCAGGAGCCAGACGTCAAACTCCGGCCATGTCCAGCAAGTTGTTCGAGCCTTCGAGGCTGGCCTAAGCTTTGACAAGGCCCGCTCCCCTCCACCGCAGAATGATGCTCCGAACATGATTAGTGGCGATTTTGCAGGGGAGCACTCCTCGAACTTGACTGCAGCTCTTGGAGAGCTGAATGAGTATGGGTCTAATTATGAGGCCATACAAAACAGTGAGAAGAAAAGGTCATTTCAGAAGGTGGATGGGGAAGACTGTGAGCCCCCTACGCCTAAATGCCAGTTTGTGGAAGAAAGAGATGCTACTGATACGGTGGAGGAAACCAGCCTAAAGTGGTCCCAACAGGATAAATGAGGCTACTGGCCTGGAATGTGAGAGGCATTGGACCAACCCTCACATTTCGTTCTGCTCTAGGTTTAGTTCAGTCAAATAAACCGGACCTTGTGTTCTTTTCTGAAACAAGAGCTCGCTGGAAACTAGTCTCCCGTCTTCTTCGGGCTTTAGGTTCTGAGTCTTCGCATATTTTCTTTGTTGATGTCATTGATGCATCAGGTGGTCTTGTTGTTGCTTGGTCCCCCGAGGTTGTTTTCTCGGTGTTTTTTCATTCGGAGTTTTGTATTGGCTTTGAAGTTAATGAAATGGCTTTCTCCTATGTGGTTTTTTGTGTTTATATCAGTTGTAATTCCGCTCTCAAAGCTGCCCAGTTGGCTCATCTTCGCGATGTCTGCGCCACTATCCAGCTTCCTTTTGTGATTGTTGGTGATTTCAATACCACCTTGCATGAGCATGAAAAAGATGGGGGTAATGCCTGCAACAGTGCGCACTCAACTAGTCTTCGTGACTATATTAATGATCTGGGGCTCCAGGATCCTGGCTATCAGGGGGATACGTTTACTTGGACAAACAAACGCATTGGTAACGCGTGTATTCGTGAGCGATTGGATAGGGCCCTGTGCTCCCATTTGTGGTAGATAAATTCCTAGATACTCTTGTCAAACATTGCACCGATCTCGGCTCAGATCATCGGGCATTGCTTCTTGCGGATAAACCCTTTGTTTGCCAAAGCCGACCCCTTTTTAGGTTTGATGCCCGTTGGGCTGATAACCCGGAAGTCCGAGCTATGGTTGGGTATGTGTGGCAAGAGCAAATCTCTGGGACCCCTATGTTCCAACTCTGGGAGAAATTAAAGAACCTGAGACATCTTCTCTATGATTGGAGCTGGGCTTGGACTACCAACTCGCTACGCAATATCAAAACCCTTCAAGTAGAGATTGAGCATATCAAATCCCATCATCCCATCAATTGGGACGAGGTAAAAAACCTTGAAATGGAATTGAATCGCCAATGGGAAGCAGAAGAGGTGTAGTGGCAACAGAAATCAAGA